CCTGGCTATTCTGAAACTAGCTCTGTAGACCAGGCTGGCCTTGAACTTACAGAGATCAATCTGCCTGCATCTGCCTCCCTGGGTGCTGGGATGAAAGGCGTGAGCCTCCATCGCCCAGCGTAATTTAAGTTTTCGCTTAATATTATCAGTTAAAACTAGGATTACTCATTCTTCATTACTAGGTAAGCTTTGAAGCCGATGTTCCTGCCGGGTATTGCTGCATCTTCATTCCCTGGCACAAACCCTTCTTTCTCGGTGCTATCGTTCATTCTGTTTCAGGACAGTTGCTCAAGCTCCTGACTCCTGGACCCACTCCTGTTCTTCTTAAATGGAGACCGATGTCCTCTTCATACGAAGCTTCTTGTTCTATTTCCTCTAGAATTCCTACAAATTTCTAGAATTGCCTCATTCACTAATTTAATTACAAGTTTTCTTCCATCCCTCCAAACCTAGTGCTGGCTGCACAGGGCCGGGGACAGTTTTATAGTAGGTTTTTAGCACCTAGAGAACAGCTTGGCTTCTGGAAGGTTCTGTATCTTTATTCCTTTGCATAGATTCAATGTATAATGCCGACCCCTCTGGAAGGTCTTCACGAGCAGAGATGTGACTTTATAGCTGGTTACCATTTGGAATGGAATGCGCTGGCTGAACTCTGTGGATAGTTCCAGCCACTGGTTCTAAAGTCTGGACAATATGGCAAAAGTGGTACCAGGAGGGGATTAAGGCAGCAGAGTGTTACCTCTGCCAGTGTCGCCTCTGCTGTGACGCTTCCACGCCACCGGATACATGAGCTGACCTTCTCCACTCTGGTGGCATTAAGTTGACATAGCAGTGTACCAGATCAGTGTTTCTCTTTCTTCAAGGCTCATGAGCTTCACTGACTATATATTTGACTTCTTCATCCATTCGGATACCATACACCTAAGGATTCCTGCTTCTCTGACTTATGTTGGTAGATTTTAACCATCCAGGCTATAGATATGTGTCCAACATATTCACAGCCCAAGTCTGTTGAACCAAGTGTCCTTCAGATTTCCACAGCTGCTGCTAGAACCCCATGCATCTTCTTACGTGATGTGTCCTGTGGAAACAGCCCCACTCTTTGGTTTTTCTCACTGATTTCAATTAACCAATACTTGCTAGCAACCTGTACATCACAGCTTATCTACTGTCAGAGTCAGATAAGGGTTCCTGTTAGACTTCTGGCAGTGTTACAGAATACCTCCTTTAGACAAGATAATGAGGAAGTATGCTCGGGGTAATGTCTTCAGAGGTGTGTGCCTGTCCTTGGAACTAGAGGCTTCTCTTTTAACCTGGACCCACAGCAACTTTTAAAATAACTACTCAGAGGCTTAATATTAATTATAAAAGTTTGATCAATGGCTCAGGCTTATCATTATCTAGCTCTTATTATTTTAAATTAATTCATTTCTATTAGTTTATATGTTACCATGAGGTTTGTGGCTTGTGGCTCCTTCTGACTCCATCTTCTTTCTCCCTGTATTCTATTTGGCTCTCCTGCCTAGGTATATTCTGCTCTGTCAAAGCATCTTTTTTATTATCCAATGATAATAAAACATATTCACAGAATACAGAAGGGCATCCCACATCACATCCTTGGAGGGGGCGTGGAGGCCAGGAAAGAACGAAAGAGAGCCTGCACTAAAGGGCTTTCCCTTTCTCCCCTTTTATTTCATCACAGGCCTTACTTAGTCTATGAAAGGGTGCTAGCCATGTTCAGGGTTGGTCAGTCCCTGCTAGTCCACCCTCTCCAGAGATGCCCCTCACACACACCTGGGGCCACACCTCTTCATGGGGTCAAGGTGACAAGATTGACCATCACAGTAGCTTGGCACAATCAGTGTAGACACTTCTGTCTCCCACAGAATTTGCAATTCCATGATATTTTCCTACTTAAAGTCATATATTTTCTTTTTACTTTGATAAGAACTCCTTACTCCCTCCATCCTGCATCTCCTTAAATGTCTCCCACATATATTTGTCTTCTCTTGAGCTCGTGTTTCTAGGGCAAAGAAATCCCTCTGAGAGTAGATCCTCCATAAGATGCCCAGTATGGCTCTCTAGTACGTCAACGCTTCCCTATTTGGCAAAAAATGAGCCATATCTTTCCAACTGCCTATGTGGCTCCTGGTTCTAGGGCTACTGTTTAAACAAACACCACATTCTCTCAAGCCACACGTAAAATTGGTTGTCTTCACTTTGGGGGGGGGAGGGAATTCCTGCCAGGGGTACTCCTGGAGGCTGGTAAGGGGAGCTAGAACTCTTATCTAGTATGCAAACTACATGGCATGATGTGTGGAATCCCGGGAACCGAATGACAGCTTCTGGCTGTCTTCCATAGTGATGAAATTAAATACAAAGAGCTCTCTTGGCCTGCATGTTGGACTATGGAACAGACGTGGAAGAACTAAGGCCTACATCTCAATAATCTCAAACTCAATACTCTGAGTTTGAGGCTGAGTGTCTCTAGTTCCAGTGGCTCAAGAGCCTAAGGCAAGGATGCTTGACCCCAGAGTATGAGGCCAGCTTGGGGAACAGCACGAGATCCCTTCTCACAGAAGAGGTGGTGATGAGCAAGAGAAAGAGGGAACACTTGGGTCAGTTGTTTACTCGGGAGACCATATTCATCACTATAAAGAAGCCAAAGGGCAACTAGGAACATGAGTGAGTTTCGGGGTGTAGGCTGCTTATGCCCCGGAGAATCCTGCCTCGGATCATTGCTGATTTACACAGTCGCATCAGCACAAAGCCCGGACTAGTGGGTAATCTATAAATGTTCTCAGTGTTGAAAATACGTCTCCATTGTAAGATTCCCTAAGCTTAAAAATAGTGCTGGAGTCACAGTGACAGTTTCTACTCAGAAAGAGCAAATGGACTAGCTGAGGCACAAAATATATTAATAGCCAGTCTTTAATCTGAGATTCTAGAATGTCATCTAAAAATATGTGGGCCAAAATAAAGTTCCATAGAGTCTCTTTCTATACATTTTGGGCATCAGTTCAACAAGGTTCCCTTGTTTTAAACTTTAAAAAAACATTCAGAGGTTCTGTGTCACACCTCAGAAGATGCTCTGCGGAGTCACCTCAGGTTAAACCCGTGAATTGTCAGCTGTGAGGACAGGATGAGAAGAATAGCCTCAGGTTTCTGCAGAGCTTCATCAGGAAGCCTAAAAATAAGGATCAAGGGGTGTTATATATTCCAAAACCGCTAAGGGCGGGTTAGAGACAAGGTTCATAGGTAGAAAGCTTGCTGTGCATGTGTGGGACCTGGGTTTAGATCTCCAGCACCTGTGCAAAGCCAGATATGATAGCGCGTGTGTAAGTGCAGACGTGGTGGCGAGTGTGTAAGTGCAGACGTGGTGGCGAGTGTGTAAGTGCAGACGTGATGGCGAGTGTGTAAGTGCAGACGTGATGGTGCGTGTGTAAGTGCAGTATTTCTGCAACAAAACAGGGGTTGGAGAACTCTGTGGGAACGTGTGGGCTAGTGTTACACAGTGAGAACAAGAACCCTGTTCCTAAAAGGTGAACGGTGAGGTCGGAAACCTGAGGCCGTTCTCTGGCCTCACACATGTGCCATGACATAAGTGTACCCACATTCACACACATGAACACACACACAAAAGCTTTAAAAATTGATGAAAATATATTGTGTACATTCTTTTTGTTTATATGCTTTTGAACATTATTTCCATAAAACAATAACAAGTTGGGAGGTTGTTGGGTGGACCCCCGTTATACACAGGACAAAGCACCACTCTGTATCTTATAACTAAATGCAATCATTGCTTGTCAATTAAAACTATTGACAGTATTTTTAAAATTTAGAACTTTGTGGGCTTAACAAGAATCAGAATACCAGGCCTGATGTAGACCCATAGATAGGTTTCAACATGAGCAATCTCTTGTAAACCACAGGAGAGCTGCTTCTAGTGAGGAATCACGATAGTCTCATGGAGTTATTTTCCGAATGTTAACTGCAGAAATAACGGTGAATGGAGCATGAGAGCAGCTGGGGAGGGGACTGTCTCAGGGAGGAACAAGACGAGCAAATGGGAGAGGGGTTCAAGGCAGGGTAGTATGTGGGTGTAGAAAAGAACATCAGCCCTGACTTAGTCCTCAAGCCCTTGGAGCTGTCTGTCTGACAGACGGGTGCCCCACCCCCACCGGCTCACTCTCTCAAACGCCATAAAGTGACTTCTCTAATTCTTTTTCTAGAAAATGTGCAAAAAGGATTTTCATAGAGGTCTTTGGAGACTTCTTGTGTCCTCATGTGTGTAATAGGTTGGGTCACATAACAATAAAGGGAGAGGACAGAGGGGGATGCTGGCTTCTGTATTTCCCTCCTCTGGCCAGGGAGTAGAGTGAGGAATTAGAAATGACAATCACAGCACAGCAATGATGTCAGTGCTCAATGAAATTAAGATCATATGTTTGGCGGTGGCAGCTGTAATCTTTTGATTATCAGGGAGATCGCTGGCAATGAAGCACATTTGTAAGGAGTATTTTTAGTGTGCCCTGTGCACATAGCATGTGAGACAAGCCTCTCCTAGATGACAGATTCAGAGAAGGCCCTCACCTAAATTCATCCTTTCCAAAGAGCTATGTATAGAAAGAACCATGAGACTTGAACTACTATAGCAGAACATTCTAATCTGCCTGATATTACCTTAGGTAATAATCTCCATATTTTAAAATAATGCTGTAAACCATTCAATTATTTATTCGCATCTACATTATGTAAACGGAAGGGTTTGGAGAACTGAGATGGTTTGATAAAAAAAAAATTTACAAAACTAAGACTTCACTGTCATGGCTCAAAGAGATGGCCACGAAACAAGCCACGGCACAGACAAAAATAAAGCAAGCCAGGGTGAATCTTTAATAACCAAAAAAATTAGATGATTAAAATGATGAATTTTCCTCTTCTCTGTGATGTGGATGTGGACAGGCTTCCCGCTCAGCATGCTCCTCTCCCCATAGGTGCTGCGCAGGTACAGCGAGATTGCTGCAAGCATGGATGATGATCTGAACCTGGGGAGAGCCTACGAGGCGATGGCCAAGGTCCTGCAGAGGTAAGTCAGCCCAGCCTCGTCCTGCTGTCACTGTGGATTCACCCAGCTGTGAAAGACTTAAATTGTTTGAGGTCTGTCGCTTTCCATTACTGCCTGCTTAAATTTTAAGCAGTGCCCTTCTTAAGTGACCCTTTGATGGTAAGTTACGGTAAACCAGTGTGGTGTTTTAAAAAGACGCATCCAAAGTCGTCTTTGTCTGCCCCTCCATTGGGTTAGCTCCCTTTCTTTTCTGTGAGTTTAGTGATGACCTTGAATGAACCCGAGAAGGAAAGAAATCAGGTCACATCTCTCATAGCCAGGGATGCAGAGAGCCTGTACCAGACACTGCACCTGGATGCTGTGACCTGTTAGCCTTTCCCGAGTTCTTCAGGAAGTATTCCCATTTACACTTCTGCCACACTTCTTTCATTAAGCAAACCTGGGTTAACAGTTGGGTGCAAACCAGGGTTTCCAACATTTTATCTGAAACCGAAAAGTCCATAAACATCTCTGAGAAGAGCTCTGATACTGCCTTTGGTAGAAAACTTGGTGGCTGCCCCTCACTTATGGTATTGCAGCCACTGTGTGATCTAGTTCACCATTGTGTGTGTGTAAGCCACTCACTATACCAAAAGTCATCAAACACAGTCTTTTTTCAGTATGTCAACCTAGAGCCAAAATATAGCCTGTTCATCATCATCATCATCATCATCATCATCATCATCATAGTAACAGGTATAAAGTTGCCACATTGTAACTTCTTTGTATTTATCTTCCATTGTAAATATATACAGGGCAGTCTGAAAAGGTGGGGATGTTATTTAAAGACATTTAATGCTTATATGTTGCATTCTACTTTTAAGTAGAATCATTGCATAAATATTACTAATATAGGAAACAATGCTTAAAAATGCTGAGACCAATGAAATGGAAGGTAAAATAGTAGTTAAAACCTGGTCACTATTGGGCAAATGTCTTAGAAAAAGGTGTACAGATGAGAGTGTGGGTGCTCATTGGAGAGAAACAGGGCCAGCCAGTCACACATGAAGAAAGCAAGCAAATACACATGGTGACCAGTCCCCAAGAGACCAGCCAGCTGGACTCACGAAAGCTCTAGTCTCTAAATAGCAGCTAAGATGCTATTGGTTAGAATTCAACTTAATATCTGTTTGGACTTCTGTACCCTGTGCACTTCTTTGTCTAGTTCATTTCAACTATTAAACTACTTGCCTCCGGTATCATCACTGCTGCAAATCAGTAGAAAACAGTTGAGTTTTTTTTTTTTTTTTTTTTGAGGAAGCTTATTGTTGGTGGGTGGTGGTTTTGTTTTTATTTACTTTTTGTTTTATTTTTTATTATGTAGGCATGTTTTATATGTGTGTATACCTGTGGAACATATGCATGCCTGGAGTCCACAGGAGCCACAATAGGAAGAGATCAGATTCCCTGGGACTAAAGTTAGAGGTGGTTGACAGCCATCATGTGGATGCTGGGAATTGAACCTGCTCTAGACGAGCAGTCAGTGCTCTAACTGCTGAGCCTTCCCTCCCTCCCCTAGAGAATAGTCGAATTCCTCATATCACTTTGTAGTGACAAGCCTGGTCTAAATTCACACAGGAATATTAAAGTGTCCTTCACGTGCTTATAAAGTCATTCTTACAAAGGGAGATTCCCATTGCATCCTGTACAGCCAAAGAGATTAAACTCCTGAGGGATTAGTTTCCCTTAAAACCTTTTCTGAGCATTTGCTGTGCCATGGGACACTCGACGCTGGCTTCAAGTTATCTGCACAGGTTTGCTGTGTGTGTCATCTGGAGATTTCCGGTCTGTGCCTCAGGATCTGAGTTCTGGATCTGTCCAGTCAATGCTTGGGGGAAAGTTGAGTGGTTATCTGATAATTCTGATGCAGTCTCTACCGTGTCCAAGGTGGGAAGCCTGCAGTGTATGTGACAGGCCAGGTAGCAAGTTTTAATGAGTGGGGAAAATATTTCTTTTACATTCTCAGCAACGCTGCAGACAAAGCCCCGGGAATGGCCCTGTTGGGAAAGTGCTTGTTGGGAAAGCATAGAAACCCATGTTCAGATCTCCAGCGTCCACCTAAAGGCCAAAGTTGTACCTGCTCTAATCCCAGTGCTGCAGAAGTCAAGACAGGCATCTGCCCTGGGGCTTGCTGGAGAGCTAGTCTAAGATGAGTTCCAGGCTCTGTAAGAGACCCTGTCTCATAAGAAAATAGTGTAGAGATGCCAGCAATGGTGGCGCACACCTTTAATCCCAGCACCCGCGAGGCAGAGACAGGCGGGGCTCTGTGAGTTTGGAGCCAGTCTGGTCTACAAAGCTAGTTCTGGGACAGCCTACAGGCTACACAGAGGAACACTATCTCAAAGAAAAAAAATTGTTTGGAGAGAATCAAGAAAGACTCCTAATATCATCCTCTGGCACATACACAGACACACAGAGAGACAGAGAGAGACAAAGAGACACAGAAAAGCAGATACACATTTTACTTTTATGCCAAATAAAACTGATAATCCACGTAGAAATTGCCTTCTGCTATAGTAAAGCCTTCAGTGATTTGTGCACATGGCAGACAAGAGTCCTTAATTTTGTAATGCCACGTACACTACTATGCAGTGTGTAGGAGGGAACAGAAATGCGTCTTCTGAAGCCATAGGAGAAAATACCCCAGGCCAACCTTCCCAACGCTGAGCTGCCATGTTGCAGCCCTGGTTCACGGGAGCATTCGGGGAGCATGGCCCTGGCCACAGCTAGACTCTGTTGACATTTCTTGAGTGTTCAAAACAAAACATTCTGGACAGCAACAGCACTGGCTGTTTGGAAAGTTTTAATGTAAACCAAGTCTATTAAGCTGTCAAAACCTTACTTGTTTTGTGGTCATTTTTAGGATAATGTTACTCTGGGAGGGTGGTATTAACTTTACTGAGAGTACCACACATGTGCAAGCACACACAAGTACATACATGACAACCCCGCTCACCGTCCTCAACTATCCTTCTGTCTCAGCAGGCATCACACAAAAGGCAACACAGGCAAACCAGAACAACTGTGGCAGTGGTGGCTGAGAAATAAATCAGGTTGTGTGTGAAGCTTGGCATTCCCCCTAAATCTCTTCTTCCTAACCTGCGTGATGGCACCAGTTTCACTAATGACAGCCCTAAGTCTATAAACATATTTTATCTCTTTAAAGGAAATGGAAGGGGATCGCCATGTCTAGGGTAAGTGGTGTCTAAGGCCGTCAGCCGACCGTGTATGAGAGCTGTATAAGCTGGAAGCTCCTGAAATTCTTACATGAATTTATATTACGCCTTCTCTGGGAAGCATGCCATTCTCTCAGATTCGGTGATATGGAGTTACCCTTTGGTATTGCTCAAGCCAGACCTGGTGTGACATCGTCCGAGAGGTCTAGTAGCGGACAACCTATTTTCTGTCAGCATAAACAATACACGCTGCATATGGTCGTATACACATTTACAATGCCATTTCTTCCCTACTTGAAACAGCACCGAAGAGAAGAATCAGTTCCGAAAGAGCCGCATGACACTCTAAGACACTACACAATAGTCAGCTGGGATTCATAGTGGAAAGCCAGCTGAGAGAGCACCAAGGAAATATTCTGTTATTGTGCTGACGGTTTGGGGAGAGATGGTTGAGATGGTTCAAGTGCATGCGCTTTCCTGATGGAATGTGCGTGCTTGTATGTTCTCATCTATGAATTCACTTACTGACATGCGCAACTCTTCAACACAATATGGAAAACTACTCAAAAGAACCCAGACAAAAGCTACACTGGCCACAGCTCTCCCACTTCTGGGCTCGGTTTGTGCCCATTGTAAATTTCCTCACACACTCAAGTTAAATGATTTTCTGGAAACTTTTCACAGTGAAGACCTTCAGATCAATACCAACAAAGTTTCCAGTGTGAAAATTACCTTTCTGTTAGAGCCAAAGATTAATTTCCTCTTGCGTGAGAGAAACGACACGCCCTAGTAATTTTCATAGATTCTCTAAAATGGAACAGCCAGGCTTCCGTGTGAAATTTGCTAAAAATGGCAAAAAAAAAAAAAGACCACCAGAAACGTTTCTATTAATTCATGGAATTAAGAATAGCTTTTTACATTTCTCCTGCCACTGCTTCCATTTGCCTTATTACTTTCATCTGAGGCCCACAAACTTGTGGCACAATCAGCAAACCCCTCAGTGGCTGTCTCATCTCTGCCCTGTTTGATTTCTCCTCTCTGAGTAAATGATTAAGTTTTCATGCATTGGTTCAGCCAAAATCTATGTTCACTCAACCACGTCCTTTATTGATTACTTCTCCTGCAAACACTGGGCCGAGTGTGATCTACATAATTGGACAGTTGTCAGGGGACAGGGGCGTTAACAGTCCTGTTTTCCCAGCTGGAAACGGGAATCACCTTGATACACAAATATTCTGCCCTCTTTCATTCCCACTCTTTGGACCGAGGAGCCCTGGTCCTCAGGATATATGTCTTTAAGTCTCCGAGGGCTGGTTGAGTGAATTTAATGATTATACCATATAATCTGATGTTGAAGTTGCACCTGTGCACTGCGTATAGGAAAACTGGAATTAATATTTGTCTAACATTTAACCTTGTGTTTGAACTTCTATAAGTAATCGGTGGCCTTTCTCTAGGAAAAAAAATTGTTTTTCCCCCTCCCAAGGACAAACTAGCTTCTAAATCTGTTGTTGCCGTCCACATCGGGAGCTCTTTCCACCCTGTATTGTTTATGGTCTAGCTGCCGCTGCACCGATAGCGTGCATTGCAGGCAGGAGCGGTGCATATCACTCACGATGAGATGGCTTTCTCCAGCATCGCTTTAGAGAAGTCCTGCAGAACTCTGGGAAATCTGTTGCTTGTCGGGGGCTGGAGAGAAGTTCAAAACACCCTGTATTCACTGGATTTACACTACTTTGGCTTTTTTCCCCTACCAAACTTCTTTTTGTACTGCTGCTTGAGTATGGTATGAATTAACTCTCCTCAGCAGCCCAAAGCTAATGTAAACTGCACTTCTGCCCAAAACACGCACACTTTTGGAAGAGCGGTAAACACACATGAGTCTAAAATAGCTAAATACCAAGATGAATTTTCTCTGTGGTTTTAAAGTGATATGTAAAGATGTCTCCTTTTTTTCTGGGATATTAGAGTACAGAAAAGAGCTTGAAAAGTTAAAATCAGTTTGACAAAATATTCTTAGCCCTAAAAATATTATATTTTATATTTCACTTTTATTTATTAGTATTTTAGTTATTGACTTATATGTTTTGTATATGTTCATTTTATTTATCAATATTTAATACTCAGTAAATTTGAATACTTTTATATTTTTTAAAATTATAATATAGTTACATTTTTTTGTTTGTTTTTTGAGACAGGATTTCTTTAGAGTTTGTCCTAGAACTTGTTCTGTAGACTAGGCTGACCTGGAAGAGATCTTCCGGGCTCTGCCTCCTGAGTGCTGGGATTAAAGGCATGCACCACCTCTACCTGGCATAATTACATAACTTAACCTTCTTTTTCTTCCTCCTAAACCTTCTCATGTACCACCAAGCCCCTTGTTCTTTCATGTTCATACTCTCCTTTTGTAATTGTTGTTACATATATATGTGTGTGTGTGTGCATATATATATATATATATATATATATATATATATATATCCTTAAATACATAAATACAACCTGCTCAGTTTGTGTTACGAATCACAGACAAAGACATACAGGTAACTAAGAAGTGCTGAGATGAGAGCTGGAGAAACAGTCTTCCTCAGGGAAAAGCACGGCAATTGATTATCTAATACCAGGTGATCTTCCTGGAAATATATACATACAGACAAATATTTAAGTTAAAATAGCTAGTGCCCTTCTCCTTATATTTTAATCCGTGTTCCATGAGCAGCATAGCTTTTCCAGAGAATTGACTCTGGAAAAGAAGTCATGATTTTGGCAGGAAAAATGATGCATATGGAATTGTGAAAGGAAATAATCACAACGCTGGGGAACACTATCAGTGGTGGCACACACCTTTAATTATAGCACTCACAAAGAGACAGGCGGATCTTTGTGAGTTCGAGACCAGCCTGGCCTATAGAGTGAGCTTCAGGACAGCTAGGGCTGTTGCATAGATAAGCCCTGTCTCGAAAAAACAAACAAACAACAAACAAACAAACACCAGCTTTGGGAAACATGAAATTCCATTTTATTTCTGCTCTGTAGAGCATTAATTTACCAACAAGAAAGGTCACCTATGACAGAGTCAGCAGGGGCTGTCCTTGAGACTGACCACTTGAAGGGAACGGCCCTCCTTCTTATGCTAAGAGGAGCTGGGAATGGGAAAGGCAGATCTGCAGTTCGGAGGAAAACCAGAACACCCCAGAAGAGAGATTTGCCAAACATGTGGACAGAGCAGGTCACACCAAGTGGCGTATGAGACACACTCAGGGTAACCATTCTTTGAAAGGCAGAGCAAGACACTGAAGTGATGGAGTCCCTGTTTGTTTGTCCCTGCTGTTGGCAGCTGAGCCCTGAAATAACCACTCAGAAACTGTATTAATTAAATTACTGCTTGGCTCATTAGCTCTAGTTTCTTATTGGCTAACTCTTACATGTTAATTTAACCCATTTCTAGTAATCTGGGTACCTCCACATGGCTGTGGCTTACCGGGTAAAGTTCCAGCATCTATGTCTGGCGAGGCTCCATGGCTTCTCTCTTACCCTGCCTCCTTTCTCCCAGCATTCAGTTTGATTCCCTACCACCACCTCTATGTTGCAGGAGGTCCTCCCGCCCCTCCAACCAATAGCTGCTGTGATACCAGCCCATTGGGGCGTGGTCTCTCTCCCTTTAAAAAAGCGGCTATTTCCTCTGCTCGCTCTCTTCACTTCCTGCTCCGCCGGAGACTAGACTCCCTTCCTGGTTGTGCAGATGGCTGTTGTCTGGGACGGTGATCTGTAAGTTTTCCCCTTTAAATAAATAACACCCTATCAATCATAACTCCAAACTGGTGTGGCCTTGTTCATGACTTACGCCTTCACCTCTGTACCCTGCGCAGGCCCAAGACAGTTTCTTTATTAACCAATGGGATTCTCAGTATACAGAGGGAAATCTGCGTGCTTCTTTCTCCCAGCATTCTCTCTGTTTACTCCACCCACCTATGTTCTAACCAATAAAATGGGCCACGGCAGTTTCTTTATTATAATTAACCAATGTCCTTCCTCCATCATTTGAAGGTATGTGGATTAATATCTGGGTCTTCAGTTCAGTTCCATTGGTCCTTCTATCTGTTTTTACACCAATACCAGGCTGTTTTCAGTACTGTAGCTCTGTAGTAGAGTTTGAAGTCATGGATCTGTGATGCCTCTGTAAGTTCCTTTATTGTACAGGACTGTTTTGGCTATTCTGAGTTTTTTTAAATGCCCAACTAGCTGAAATATATCTCTATAAATCTAGAAAATCTAACTAGCATGACTACAGCTTGACTATTAAAGATAACTCTCTATTAACCTATATTTCTTAATTATACATTACACTTTTAAATGAACTACATAATCACAATACCTTAATCAAGATCAAAACTACATATACATATAACAAAATTGACTTTAAATTTGTATCAATAAACCAAGATCCACATCAATGTAAATCTCTATAGCATATCCTCCTTTAAATGTAAAAGAACATTTATAAACAATATTTGGGAATGTTTGTGTAGTTCTGTCCATACTGTTTCCTGCTGTTTTGGGGAGCTGTTAATCAGGTCTTTAATGGTATATCCTGTGTGCTAGGTTCACTTCAGTCAGCAGTTGGGCGAAGTAATTTTTTGAGGGTGTTCATGGTGACCTTTCAGGGGGATGTGGTCTATCAAACCATATTTGTCTAGAAGCAATCCACAGGTTCTTATCTTCTGCGAAAACAGAAGAACCTCTTTTCCAATGCACCATATCCTTAGACCCAAATTCTGAAGTCATAATACCTTTATAATATACATGCTGATTTGGCTTAGTATCCCATACAATGAAATGTCCCCTTGTACTTCGCTTCTTCACAGTCAAAAAATTCAAAGAAAATACAATAATATACATAATCCAGACTCTCTGTGTATACTCCATCTTTACATTGCTTATTTTTCTTTACTCCTTTTAATCTATGACTATCTGTACTTTGTCTCTTTAAAGACTACCTTTCTTAAGCATTAACTTTATTTCATGACTTTCTATATTGTTTTTCTTCTCTCTTTCGAGCCTTCGTACATTTATCCAACATTATAAACCATTTATAGGTTGTTAATGTCTGAATCTGTTTTATTGGAATCTGTAATTCTTTACTATCCAGGAGAACTTCTTAAAATGCTAAGCACTTCTTAAAAACTTAAGTTGTGCCATTAGTAGGGGTAATATAGAACCACCTGTTTGTCAGCCCAGTCTAAAACTTAATCTGTGCTATTATTATGATAAATATGGTAGTTCCTACTCAGCCTCTGCACAGTTCAGCATGGCATAGCCACTTGTGCCTCTGAGCCACATGCATTGCCCCACTTCCAGGAACGCAGGGAGTCCACATTTCCATCAAGCAAACCATAGCACTTTACTCACAAACCCCATCCAAATGCTCCGTCTCCCGCAAGAGACAGAGGTCATGCTAGCAGCATAGCCCAGAAAGCCAGCATTTTAAAACCAACACTTTTTTCCTGCTGCAGCTAAGTCAGGAAAATCTCTCTTAAAGGAGCCAGTAAACAGCAAAAATCTGTGTTGAACTATATTTTTGTGTTTAAAATTAAGCTCTCTCAGGTTTTTAAGTGGATTTAGTCCACCACATTGGTGCCAATTGTTGGAGGAGGTCTACTTGTTCATCCCAGCTGCCAGGCTAGTTTAGCTCCAAAATAACCACACAGAAATTATATTAATTAAAACACTGCTTGGCCCATTAGCCCTAACTTCTTATTGGCTAACTCTTACATCTTAGTTTAACCCATTTCTATTAATTTGTGTATTGCCACATGGCAGTGGCTTTCTGGGAAAGATTCGCCGTGTCTGATGGCTCCATGGGGACTCTTCTACTCTGCCTTTCTCCTCCCAGCTTTAGTTCTGTCTTCCCCACCTGCCTAAGTTCTGCCCTGTCAACAGGCTAAGGAAGTTTCTTTACTCATTAACCAACGAAAGCAACACACAAACAGAAGGAACTCCTATACCTAGGGTGTGGATGGGAAACTCTCTTAAGTCCACACCCTAGGTGAAGAGCTATTAATGACAGAGAAATAGGGGTTCAGTCTTCCCTAGAAGACCCAGATAGGTTACCCAATCCTAAGTGGTCATCCCTAAAAATACACAGATGAGCAATATTGGATGGACCTAGCAGGCTATGTATGCATGTATATATGTGCTTTGTATGCATGCATGTGTGTGTGTGTGTATTGTGTAAAACATTATTGAAGAGGAAGATGTTATGAATTTGGGAGGGAGTGGAGGGGACATGGAAGTAGTTGGAGTAGAGAAGGATAGGGTAGAAATGGTATATAGAATTAAAAAAATAACTTAAGTTTTTAGTTTTAATTCATCATATACCCAACAGAGATAAGCCATGTCTGGTCACCCACTGTGTGCTCTAAGTCTGACATCCTGAGCCACGTGTCTGCTAGTGCACTGCGTGTTATAAGTCTACATCCTGAGCCACGTGTCTGCTAGTGCACTGCGTGTTATAAGTCTGACATCCTGAGCCACGTGTCTGCTAGTGCACTGCGTGTTATAAGTCTGACATCCTGAGCCACGTGTCTGCTAGTGCACTGCATGTGCTGTAAGTCTAACCATCTGACCAACACCCCACACTTTTTACAGCAAAGACGCAAAATTCCTTCTTTTCACAATGACGAAATGTACACTAATGGTTTTCCATTTTATTCCAGCCAAGGACAGATGACAGAAGCAATTAAATACCTGGAAAAGGTTGTGAAAATCGCAAGGAACAACTTCCAAAGCCTCGACGTGATACGAGCAAGCACAATGCTTGGCGACATCTACAATGAAAAAGTGAGTTGTGTGTCCCTTTTTGTGGAAAAGCTTGCAGAGTTGGAAATCTCTTCTCGCTTTATGCTTGCTGACTCACTAGTCAGTGTGGAAAATGGCTGTGATTGCAGGATGTGGCACAGATACGGGCAGGGGCAGAACTAGAAATGCCTCTTTCCTACTCATCTGTGGGGAGACACCCCACATCAGCAACCACTGCCATTCAGTATTCAAGGTGACTGGATGTAGGGAGCAAGGTAAAGATTTAAATGCAAAGGCACTTTGTGGTAACTATTGACTCTTACCGGCTTACTCTGGCATTCCTCTCTCAGTCCAAATTCTCATTTCTTTTTAATCCAGTTGGGAGGCCTACCAGGCAAAGAAATGAAAATCCTAAGAATGACTCCGCAGGGAATTGAGAGTGTGGTTTTCACAGCATCCCAGGAGCCGAGATTAGTAAATGCACAGTTGTAATCCCAGTTTTACTGTCTGCGGCTGCCCAGGGTCTCCGTTAGAAATTGTATGGGAGAAGCCTGCTTCTCCGGTTATAATTGCTGTTTTGATCATGAATCAGATCCATCATTTTTTAGGGTAATTATATTCTCCAACTGTGTTTATACACTCTGTGCTAATCTGAGTGCTCGGTGATTGAAAGCATTACCGTGGAGCCCACTGTTCGGGTGACAAGCCCAGCTCCTTCACTCGTAAGATCTGGGACCTGTGACAAGTTATTTACACTTCTAGGTGCTTTGACTTTCGCATCTCGTGGGGTTATTGTAAGAATTAAATTAAGTGGCATGAAAGCAGAAGGGCAACTCCGGAAGAAAGAACCCTGAGAGGGTGCGGAAGGACCGTGGAGGGGGCAGTAATCACGAACAGGGTGCCATGGTGTATGCATATGAAAGTGTCATAGGAAACCCAGGATTTATATACCAACTAAAATGTTAATTTTTAAAAAATCAACCCCAGGGGACTTGAGAACAGGCTCAATGGTTAAGAGTCCACACATCTGGCAGCTCACAACTACCTACAGCTCCAGCTCCGTGGGGCCTGACACCATCTTCTGACCTATGCGGGCACCTACATGCAGGAGATACACATAAACTCAGGTAGTTGTGCGCACGCACACACACACACACGCACACACACACGGTAAATAAATGGCGAAGTCATTAAAGTATCTGTTTGGAAAGCACGGAGACCTGATTTCAGATCCCCAGCACCTGTGTGGGAAAGCAGTGTGTAGCGCATGCTTATAACCCCAGTGATGTGAGGGCAGGGCCAGTGGGCCAATGGAGTGCACTGGCCAGCCATGCTAGCCAGATCAGTGAGCCCAGGCTCAATGAGACAGACCCTGACTCAAAGAAAAAAAAAAAAAATAGGAAGCACTTGAGGGAGAAACTAGACATTGGCTATTGGCATCCATACATATGTACATACACAGCATGTATACATACATGAGCAGGTACACAATCCATATGAACACAAGCATGCACTCCATGCAATGTAAATGCTGAAGAGAAAAGAGGTTGACCTTGGGCTAACCCTGTGTCTCAGGCTACGACTCTGCTACTACTGTATGATGTCTGTGGTCTTCTGTTCCAGAGCCTCTGGGAGTCTATCTCACTCCAAGTCTCCTAGATTCAAAGTAGTTGTAACAGTCCAATCCACACTCTTAACCACTACCATAATTTTTAGTAAAATGAGTTTCAAATGAATACAAATTCATGAACGTAGTGTTTTGTTTGGTTTCTGCTCTGAGGAAAATTTCTGCAAGCAAGTCCTGGCCTCCCATTCCTCTCAGCTACCTGTGGCTCCCCTAGCTCCTTTGCTCTCCACAGGAGAAGAAGCCACCATCGCAAAAGTGACTCTAAAGGGAATTTATAATGGGTTTCTCAAAGCACAAAGCCACCAGGATTAGTCAATGTGCTGACAGTGACGCCATTTCTTTCCTTGCCCAGAGACTGCTGTTGAGACCCTGGGGAAGGGGCTCACAGTCTCAAGGCCTCCTGTCCCCTTAGTTTCCCACTTCACCTCCTTCACCTTTCCCCTGCTTTCCTGCCTTCTCCTTCGGGGCCTCCCATCCTTGCCCTCACCTTGGCCGACTCCCACTCTGTTTCTCCTTTTTCCACCTTCCATATCCGTCCCCGGGACTTTCTTCTCTTATGCTTCACCCACCACCTCTACCTCCCGCACCACTTCTGCTCTGTTGGTCCCCAGAATGGGGTTTTGTTTAATTTTCAAGATAAAGCGGTAGTGCACAGCCATGCCAAGACTGTTCTAGAGAAGCTTGCATCAAAGAGGGGATGCACCCCACACGAGCTGAATTGACAACTGACTCCTTAAAAGGATGACTCTTCAGAAATACAGCAAAGCACACATTGCTACAGCTTTCCTATCCTACCAAACAACACACTGAACACCCATATTCCACATGACAGCAATGCCAAGGGTCCACCTGTTTCCCTCATGACCGAAAGAAAAGAAAAATGAGACAAACAGAAATACTAACTTTATGCTTTCATTTTCCCAAATTTTGTCAAGGGTTTTTAATGTCACTAGTGTGATTTATTCTCTGGTGTTTGATTCTTGAACAGTTTACCTTGCAAATACTATAACAACTAAAAGTTAATTTTTGCCCATTTATTCTCATTATAAAATTTGGAAGATTCTGGACATTCATTTCATCTTTTTATATATGTGTACATATATATGCTTTATATATATTTATATATACATATATAGTTTATTCAGAGAAAGAGATAGATAGACAGACAGACAGACTGACGGATGATGGGTGGATGGTGGATGGATGGATGGATAGATAGATAAGCAGGTAGACAGACAAATAGACACTATATTAATTACTTTTCTGTTGCTGTGATAAACGCCATGACCAAGATAGATTATAGAAGAAAGGGTTTATGTGGGGTTATGGTTCCAGAGGTATATGAGTCTGCTGCCATCATGGTGGGAGGCATGGCAGCAGATCTGTGTGGCAGCTAGATCAGAAGGTTGAGAGCTCATGTACGAGACCAAAAGCAGGAAGCCCAGAGCAAACTGAGAATTGTGTCTGAGTAAAGACTCAGCAAACTGAGTCCTTGAACACACAAAACCCACCCATGGTGATGCACTCCCTCCATTGAGGCCACACCTCCCAAGCCTCCTAAACAGCAGCACCCACTAGGAACTAAGCATCCTGAGCCAATGCCTGGGGCATTCTCATTCACACCATCAGTGAAAGACAGACAGATAGTTCAAATACACAAGTTGATACAATACTTTGGTAAATAGTCTTAATGACAATGACAAATAATGTAACACTGAGCACATAATTTTATAAGCACGTGTACTTCAAAACAAAGCTTGATCTGCTTCTCAAATTGTTAAAGCTACATTTAATATTTCCTCATTGCCACTCCTCATGCTGTCGTCATTTCAAAGCGTTCTTCTGGCGATGGCTCAGGCTAACTTGAATTTGTCCCATCATTCCTTCTCGGGAGTGATACTTCTCAGTGCAGTTTGAAAGGTAGTAGGTCTAACAAAGGAGATTAATTAGAACTGAGTGATGGCTGCTATTTTAATTTTCTCTAAATTCTGCAGAATCTCTTTCTATGAAAACATTGACAATAAATAACTTAATACCTCTACACTTGGTGGCTGCGGACAGTTCGCAATTATTTTAAGTGCTGCTATAGTAGTTGCACAGCTGAATAATCCCGTAAGCTACTTGTAAAAGTAGGAATGAATGCCTTCATGGAGGGAGGTTATAGCAAGGCAAAGAGGATATACCCTGGGTTTTGTCCACCTGATTTTGAAATGTGCCCAGTTGATAATTAATTAAGACATTGGGTGAGTTAGTTCCCAGTTTTCTCACCTACTTGGCAGTAACAAGAAAACTTAACGCTAGAGGCAAGCACCTATACCTGCTATGACATCTGAGCAGCCCTAATAAGTGATTTTCTACATATTTAAGACATCTATTAGAAAACAGTACTTAAAATGTTAGGATAAGTTATTACACTTGAATTGAAATGTTTTAAGGTTTTGGATTTTCATACAAACCTTAAAATGCTAAGTGATTAAATGTTTCCTGCAATGTTGGCACATTCATTGAGTAACCAGAGTGTGGCCGATATTCAGAGAATACCTAAGGGGGTGTATGAAGGGTGGAGCGGTGGCTTAGTGGAGGAGCACACACGGCTCTTCCAGAGAACATGAATTAGGATCCCATAGCCAACGAGCAAACTCCTGTAACTCCAACTCCAGGGAGATCCAATGCCTCTGGCATCTGCACTCATGTGCAGTTCCATACATCCATGTCCACCCCACATACACACACACACACACACACACACACGCACACACACGCACACATACACACACACACACGCACACACGCACACGCTGGGTTGGGCATCGTAAGATAAGCATGGAGCACCTGATAGAGTTCCCATTGCACACTGAGTACATAATCACTGTCTGCTCCTTGATATATCAAGCTCCTCCCTCTTCCTCAAGCCCAGATTCACAGCCCTTTGGCGGTTTGACATACTCACCCCGATCTCTTTAGATATAAACTATTACTGCCAAGCCAATTCATCTTCTCTCCCTTAAATTCTACTTCTCTGCCAAATACACAACTCCAAATCCTTGCCCCCCCCCAAGCTTCTAGCCTTGAGCATCCATGCATCTGCTCACTTTGCACCTGCACCAGATCCCTAGTAGGCACGACAAACATAACACAATAATAAACACCGCTTTATCCATCGTCCCCTAGTAGACTCGGCAAACATAATAATAACCACCACTTTATCCATTGTCCTCTAGTAGACACAGCAAACATAATAATAAACACCACTTTATCCATCATTCCTGTTGTTCAAAGTCCGCCAGCCATTTTCATCCATCCCAGATGTGCCCACTCCAGTAAGCCTGTCCGTGGCAGAAGGCATAAGCTACGTCCTCACCCTGTCCTCACCCGACCTCTGACCTCAGCGCTCCCTGATCTCTCCTTCACCAACTCCACCACAGCCAGACTTCTCAGTAGTTGTCACACATTCAAGGCTAGTTCTGACTGAGCGTGGGAGCCTCAGCTGGAAGGTTCTCCCTGGACTGTTCTCCAGTCTCAGTTTTACTTTCTTGCCATTTGGAACTCTGTGTAGTTCTGTGTGCTGCTGGTATCAAACCCATGGGGGAGGAAAACTGATTCTTGAATATTGTCCTCTGACCTCCCCAAGTGTGCCATGACATGTGTAAGCCCACACTCACACACAAGCACATCACACATGGGCACACACACACACTCAGAGAGAGAGAGATTATTTACCCTTAGGAAACACCCATTTTTTTTTTTTACTTTGCGTGTTAGATCTCTAAGAAACAGAATACACACGAAAATTCTATTATGAGCTTTGTTTCATTATCTATGATGTCACTGAGATCGTACCCTGGAACTGTCAGAGATTTCAGAGCGCTGGTTGGAGTTGCCTTCTCACGGATGGATTAATGAATATATAATTTGCTGCACAGCTTCAAGTTTATATTTAAGATTGTCAGAACCGATTTCTAGAATAATTCGAAATTTATAATAGAGATGACTTGGAAACAAAGATGAACTTTAGAAGGTTATACAGAATTTGAGGAGATATTACATTTATTGAGTAAACTTTTTTTAAGGATTAAGAATGTGGAAATACAATAGATACTAAAGAAAACTCATTCCCAAAAGGTATGTGAAAAAAAGATAGTATCTGAAAAGAACAACTATTGTATTTACTTGACTGTATGTTAGAGACATCTTGATTGTAGTTTATGACAGTTGTTTGTGGTTAGTTTGAAGGGAAGACAACCACCTAATGATATTCCTGTTTTAGGCAGAAAAAGCACTTGGCTTCAATAAGGCCCAGTCACCATTTTAGGTGGTACTGCGTCCTCTAAAATCAAGCCACCTGTCCCTCTTTCTCTTGGTGCTGAGTCCACTGGTGCCATGCAGGCTCTCACGCATAGCGGCTGCCTCACGACTCAGCCGATGAATGGCGGTTCATCTCAACCTATGTCGGGTAAATCATTCTGGAATTTAAATATGTGCCCATTTGTTTATAGCCCTTGATTTACCAGACTCAAACTCCCAACCTAATCAATAAACAGCCCAAAACTCAGAAATATAACAGGAGCAATTAGATGCTTCAGTTTCTGTTTTTTTTTTTTAACAAGGCTATCCTTGACCAAATTGTGCTTTTTTGTGTGTAGTTTTCCTTTCTCATTGGTATCTATCAAGGATGTCTGTATCTTCATTATCTTTATTATGTGTCGTAGTTCTCAATCATATATAATTGGAACAGATACCACCTTTCATTTGTTTTAATTAAATAATCTTTTCTCATTATAAACCTTTTTATGATTAAAAAGAATTGCTTACAGCATCAAATAATAACTATTACTTATACAATATGAAGGTGCTTCCCATCAATGAGCAAATTTGATAGAAGGAATTCTTTGACTAGGGAGTTCACGTAGACTGCCCTATGGACAGGACGTGCAGTGTTGCATTGCTGCGTGGGAGAGGAACCGCTCATCACGCTGTCAGGTATCTCTTATTCAATCAGTGTGACCACTCATGCAACTGCTCCACTGCACAGACAGCCTCGGAGCTGAAGCTTCACCCCATCTGTGCAGGTGTGCCCACCCCATCTGTGCAGGTGTGCGGCATGGAGATGTATCCATGGTGATTTGAATTACCACTTCTTTTGACAAAGTGTGGGAATATGGCTAAAAATTTTATTGTAAAAATATTCCTCTCCTGTGAAAGTTTCTTTTGAAAGGAGTATTCAACGATGTTTTAAATATCTCTATTTTGTCTGTGTGTGTCTGAGTGCTCAAATGTAGGGGGCACAGCTGTGTGAATAAACAAGCATGTATCTGCAGAAGCATGTAGAGATGAGAGGTTGAAGTCATGTGTCTTGCTCAACCCCTCTCACCTTTGCTTTGTTCTAGCCATATTACAATGACATGTTTTTTTTATTTTTATTTATTTATTTATTTATTTATTTATTTATTTATTTATTTATTTATTTATTAAAGATTTGTGTCTCTTCCCCGCCACCACCTCCCATTTCCCTCCCCCAATCAAGTCCCCCTCCCTCGTTAGCCCAAAGAGCAATCAGGGTTCCCTGCCCTGTGGGAAGTCCAAGGACCACCCACCTCCATCCAGGTCTAGTAAGGTGAGCATCCAAACTGCCTAGGCTCCCACAAAGCCAGTTCGTGCAGTAGGAACAAAAACCCATTGCCATTGTTCTTGAGTTCTCAGTAGTCCTCATTGTCCGCTATGTTCAGCGAGTCCGGTTTTATCCCAGGCTTTTTCAGATCCAGGCCAGCTGGCCTTGGTGAGTTCCCGATAGAACATCCCCATTGTCTCAGTGTGTGGGTGCACCCCTAGCAGAAGGAGAGAGAGCACAAGCAAGGAACTCAATGACATGTTTTAAATCTAGACTCTCTTGTGTTTTTAGCTAAACGGCAGCAGGTGCATCTAAGAAAAGAGAAGCAGTGACCAGAGTTGGCAGAGAGATGTGTCTGTCAGTTGTGGCCACTAGTTTGGCGCCAAGGGCCTTCCTGCTACAAATGAAAACAAAAGACAATTAAATACATTTCACTGGATAAATACAATGGTATAATTAGTAAAACTGTGTTGAAACTGTGTCTACTTCCTTCCGCTGCTGCTATGCACTTCAGTGTTTCAGCCACAGATGCAGATTTTTAACCAAATTAATCTCAAGGTTCTGACCATCACGTGAGCTCTGCTTACGGAAGACAGCCTTTTCTGATGAAAGAAACGGGTGTGCCGAGGTGAGGCGAGCAAGTCTGTGAGATGGGCGAGGTAAGAAATAAAACAGCCTTCTCTCTTTCTCGCTAGGGGCAGTACAGCAAGGCTTCCGAGTACTTCCAGCAAGCTTTCAGCACCACTGTGGAGCTCATGAAAACAGCGCTGATGGATGAAACCAAAGTTCATTATGGGATAGCCAGAGCCCATCAGCTGATGCTGACCATGACGGGTTACATAGAGTCTGCAGATGTGGACAGCCTCAACTGCCTGCTGTCCTGGAAGGAAAGCAGAACGCAAATCAAATATGACCCCGTTCTGGGTAAGACTGGCTTTAAGATTTTGCATCCTTCTTAGTAGCCAAGGTATTTGTGTTGGAAATGTTTATTCGCACGTTACTGACTTGAATTTGCTTGGTAATTTTGTTCTTGTTCTTTGGTTACTGCATTAGAAGCTGGGTGAGCTCTCCTGCTGTATCTTACTGGCAGTGTTTAAGAGAAGCACAAAACAGCGGGAATGATGTGTCGGCCAATCATTCTCCACTTTTGAGCAGGAACTTCCCAGTAATCTTCAAGGCCACACTCTGTACCGACAGGTTGTAAGGAACAATTTACAAGGAGTAAGGCGCGTGAAATCAGCTTGTGCTTTCTAGTAGTATCTGGTCGGACGGTGCACAGATGAGAGCAAGCACAGACATGCAGCTTAAATAATGTGCTTCACGGATAGTGGTTAATGTTACTTGTATTGTTTTGAGTTTGGAAAATATTTTATAGCAATGCCCCTTAAACTATTTTTTCTTATAAATAATTATACCATATTTTATTATAACCAGCCAGATTAGTATAAGGGTCAGCTTTGTGTTTTAGCTTCATTCGACTTTAGCTGACTTCAGGTCACCAAGCTTGGTGGGAAGCACATTTACCCACTGAGCCATCTTGCCCACCCTGAATACCAAACTTTTTTTTAAACTCATTGTTAGATCCTTGAGAGCTCATTCCACATCTTGGAATTACCTTCATCTTAGATTTTCATGTTTTCTGCCCAGAATACCAGGAAATGACCCATGTCAGCTGTCATACACTGAAAAGGGTCAGCCAGCAATTCAGTGTCTCAGTTTGTCTTGAATAAACTCTTATCCTATGATACTGTGAGAAAAACTCTCTTGCGGGGAGAAAGGCCAGAAAAGCCACGTTCTGATGGGTTCCAGGTGTGTCTCTCAGTGCCTAGTGTGCAGCTTCTGAAAACCCTTCTGCTTTTGCTCATCCGTACCGCTTACATTTGTGGCTCTTTGGTTTCTCAAGAGCTAAATTTTCTTCTGAAGGGCTTGGGAGCAACATCCATTTTCCTCTGTGCTTCAGACACTAACGCTTATGGTCTGCACAGGCGGGGAGTGCTGGAGAAATCACAACCGGCACTGCTTCATCTCACGTGACTCAGCTCTGCAGGGGTGAGTGTCTTCCCTGCAGAAGTAAAATGTAGACAAGTGTAAATACTGAGTTCTCGGTCTGCTGACACCGTTCACGCTGTATCTTTTCTTCTTGGGAATAAAACCCACAGGAAACTATTTGACACGTGTGACTGTTTGCACATGTGCATTCGTAGGTCAAAGTGCACTAAAATCTGACGTAAGACACCCCGTTTTCACTCTGCTCAAAACTCCTCCCTTGCTCTTCTCTGGGTTCTGGATAAAGGCTTCTTGACCTTCCTGACTGGGTTCTTTCCCGACTGCTGCCCTACACACACTCCACCCAGCACTGCCCACATGGTGTCCCAGTGACCTCCTTCCTTCCACCTCAGTTCAGCCAGGTCCTTAGTCAGGATGCCTGAGGCCCCTACCACTTGAAAATGCTCTCTTCTCTGATCTCAGTGGCTGTCATTTATTTCTCTGCTATCATTTATTTTTCTGCAAGTTGTTTCATTTCGTTTTCTACCACGACCATCTTTTTAATCGCCTTAGCTGCTCAGTTGAGAGCGTGGGTCTCTCAAACACACATTCTTGGTATTTTCTAAGAAGGAAGATATGATATTTGACATCTACAAGTTGCCAAGTAAATGCTTAAATCAAACAGAATCCAAGATGAGTAAGCCCAACCACAAGCTAGTTTGCACTAACCATGTTTTAAGCTTGTGTGCGATGTGTCCTTGGGAAGCATATGATACCACACTATTTGGATTACTATCCAATTATCACATGAGTGAAGGATGGTGCTCACCAAACACAATGTTGACAAAATGGAAAAGTACAAAAATATTATTTGGAAATATGAGCTTTTAAGTTTTCAACTCCCACCTTCCTTGTGGGATGAGGCATCTTTAATCTTGTTATTGAGGGTCCCCTGTATTCAGAGAAAAAAAAAACAGATCAAAGATCAAAAAGCTATATTATTAAAGCTATGCGTGTGTTATTGGCACCTCAGAGACTTCCACCCTCCAAACAAATCGTTAGCTCAAAGAACTGCCAATATTCTTGTAAGCAGAGAGCATGCCCCTAAGGGAACTGAGCAGTGAGAACACTGAGGTCCCCAGATGAAATGGAACAGTGACTCACCAGCAACCCACGGTCATCTTTGTTCCTCTCGGAGGAAGCACGCAAGAACAGGCACCTTCAGACTCTTCTAATACCGGGATGGTGAAAGTGACTCATACAGCCTGCCCTCCCCTCCCGACATTGAGTCTCCCAAATTTAAAAGTTGAGGGGGGAAAATCAAGTTTATTACACCTCACCAAAACAACTCGATGCTGAAGCAACTCCAATTGTTTGGTTCTGGAAGGCTCAGGGGCCTATGACCTTCTCCTGAATTCTCCAGAGTATTGTTTGCTCCCCAAACCCAAGACATCTTCCCAATCAAGGAAATGTATGTTTTTATAGAAAATGTAATTCACATTGTAACCACATACACAGCGACATAGAAAGAAATGCTTTTCCCATTCATATTAACAGCGGTGTTAATCCAGGCATGTGATTCTGCCCATTTAAGTGGCAATGTCATGAACTCCATCACTAGGGAGAACTGTTTCAGTGGCAGGATCTCGATCCACTTTCTCATTGAGGCCAAAGGCAAATTACATCAGAGAAAGAAACCAGATGAGCACACCAGCCGGTTGGAATGCGAGGACACAGTTCTCAGTGAGATGTTATGTGAAGGCTTACAGGGATGGGAAAACCATCATCTTGATTTTATGGCTCCTGCAATATTCTTCAAGAAACGCCATGACTTGGTCTCAGTTTTGCCTCTACATTGGCTTCACATGGCATGAATTGTTTAGTACTAAGCCATTGCTACTGTAGACTTTGCTTGCATTTTTTCTCAGTCATGAGCTTACCTCACCGTTTTAAAGAAATAAAAAGTTCATCTTCATAAGCAAGCCCTCATACTCTACTGTGACTGGATACCTTTCCTATAGCTTAATAACCATAAATATGAAGAGAAAATAATGAAATTATCCAATAGGCTAGCAAGCAAGCTTTAAGAAATACAAACACTTTTATTGAATTTGCTTTTTTGACAGTTTCATACATGTACCTGGTATATCTTGATTATTGTTACCCCACCCTTTCTGAATTCCTACCTAGCCCCTTTGTGCCTCTCCTGCCTACAAGTCCCTCTCCCCTTTAGTGTCTTTTTGTTTTGTGACCCACTGAGATTAACTAGGGCCTTCTCTGTGATGGTGAGTTTGGGACTAACTCTGGAGCCCAGTGGACTTATCAATGGCTAACTAACTGCAAATGATGTCTTCCCCTCGCCACAGCATCCATCAGTAACCAGTAGTTCAGGGGGGGAAGGTAGGACCTTCCCAAGCCCTATTGAATCCGTGTACCTGTTGACGGGCCCAGTGCACTCAGGCAAAGCTTCTGTGAGATCATGATCGTCATGCCAGAAGCCAGCATTTCACAGCCCCTCTTCCTGTTTTCTTGTTTCTACATTTTTTTCTACCCCCTCTTCTGCTATGTTCCCTAAACCATTGTGGCAGTGGTATAAATGTCTTGTTTAAGGCTAAGCATTCAACGGTCTCTTATTCTCAGCATCTTGAGCAGCCAGGCTTCTCTGTATTCACCATCACTCATTACAAAGAGAAGCATCTCTGATTAAGACTGAGTTAGCACTTGTATATGGGCATAAACATACATACTCAGAAAGCAGTGTGATGTTACGATAAACTAAAGAAGAGTAATAAACAGAAGTTCCCCAGTAGAGTTGAAGACTTCATCAACCATGAGTTTTGTTTTTTATTTGTTTGCTTATTTGATTTTTTTTTTACTGCATTTACATTATCAGGCAAGGATTCCATACGAGGGTCAAGCCTCATATCTACTCAAAGAGCATTTGGCTACTCTATAACAGTCATGCCATTATTGCTTCAGTAGGCACACCTTGTCTGGCTGGATGATATTGTGGTTTTTAGGATTCACACCTGGGTGAAACAGTTGATGCCATTTCTCCCCAAGCAGCCTGCAACAAACACCATGAAAACTAGTCATCAGTGGGGAAGCTTCCTCTTCAGTTCCAGCTTGGTCGCTCTGTCCTCTCATCAAGAGATGTGCTACCTTCAGCAGTGGGGCCTTATCACCTAGTTCTGGTGAGAAAGTACAGGTGACAGGACTTGTTGGATAATCTTGTGAACTTGCCATACCAGAGCTCATAAAGAGGCACCTTACACTCAGTCCTGGGATCTTTGATAAGCTATGGCTTTTAGGAGAAGACATATAGGATCTCAGTCTCCATCCCCATATAGGTTTCCATATTGCTTAGCCTACTCTGACTCCAGAAGCCCCAGGACCCTTTTCAATATCTTCCAGGACTGAAGCAGTAAGGGTGCTGGAGACAGGCTTGGGGCAGCTGTCTCTCTGTAGGACAATTGGCATTTATATTCTCCGGGTCTGCCTGTGATATTTTTAAAAGGTAGAAACCCTTTAAATACTGCATTAAATTCCCATTTTTAGTCACAGCAAACAAGTTGGATGAGACAAATGGGATAAAAGCATTGAAATACATTCTTTATGTGTTCCATACCCGTGTCAGAAGAAGAAAACCAATGTGCACTTCACTGTCAGCCTTACTTAAAGTGATCATGTGAATCAGATCCTCACAGACATCAGGGAAAGCATCCAGTGCCTTCTGCAACTTTTCCTAAATGAGCATAACACCAAAATGTCTGAAAAGAGAAACAGTACCTAGCTGCAACCAATTCTAAAAGAAAAAGGAAGAATTTGTGTGTGGATTTTCAATTTCCTCATTAAAATACACACCACCACCCTTTGTCTATTTTGTACAGCACAGTGACAAGTTACTTCGTACAGAATAAAGTATTTTTTCAAAGCTA